GATACAAGCGCTCGAGAGTTTGTCCACACATGCTGTAGTTGAAATTGACTGGTTGCCGCTTCCTGCTGAATGATATTGTGTTGCATTTGGCTATGCATAAATCGAGTAGGTTTCGCTTGCTCCAGTCCTCGAACAAATCTAATAACCTCTGCAACTCCAGGCAATCCTCAGTGCAGGTGATGATCATAAAGATCTTAACATCGTCGGCATAGAATATTCGCTGTCTACGTGACAACACAAAGGCAATGTCATTTATGAATAATGAGAAAAGTAGCGGTCCAAGATTACTCCCTTGCGGTACACCATAAGGAATCATAAACGGCTCCGAATGTGACGAACCAATCCTTACTCTCACGGATCTTTCAGACAGATATGATCTAAAACAGCTAACAAGCGCGGAAGATACCCCCAGCTTCTCGAGTTTTTGCAACAGGATATCATGATTCACACGATCGAATGCAGCCTTGAAGTCCGTGTATACGGCGTCCACTTGTGAACCAGCGTCCATAGAGCGTATGCAGAGTGAGGTTTGTAGTAACAGATCGTTTCGGGTAGAATCCATGCTGGGCACATGAAATGTAGTTTTTGGTGTCTTCAAAGAGAGCGTTGTTTACAATTATTTCAAAAACCTAAGAGCAAGCGCTCAAGGACGTTATTCCACGGTAGTTGACGACGTTACATTTGTCACCCTTTTTGTGAATCGGTGACAGAAACGAAGTTTTCCATCCAGCAGGAAATTTTTGCTGTTGGAACGAGAGATTGTACAGTTTTACTAACGGTGTCATCAGAGAACTCGAGCAGTTGTTCAACACAGATGAAGGAATCCCATCAGGACCGGGTGACACGGAATGTTTGAGCTTACGTAATGCATTTTTGACATGCTCCTCGCTGATCTGGAAAATTCCAAAGTCGATGCTGTCTAGCGGCGTATCACGAACAGCAGCCTCTATCTGCGATGGCGTAGCAGGCGTATTTGAGAAGACATCCTTGAAGTGTTCGGCAAAGATCTCACATTTACTAGAGGCTGTGCTAGCAAATTGGTCGCCGAAATACATGGACGTTGGCAATCCATCTTCCTTGCGTTTAGTACGAACAAAAGACCAGAACTGTTTGGGATGTAGACGTAAATTTCTCTGCGTACGATCAACGTATCGAGCATACAATAGACGGTTATACCGTGTGTACTTGTTACTGGCCATTACAAAGCGATGTTTGGAGTGCTGCGAACGACTCCGACTATACGTTCGAAGTGCAGATCGCCTACGGCGCTTCAACTGGCGGAGGCTCCTGTTCGTCCAAGGAGGCTTCAGTGGAGGGCGCTGAAGAGGCACGTGAGCTTCGATGACTTGACGTATCTCCGTGTTGAAAATACATACAATATCGTCCAGATCCTGATCAGAATCCAAAAATTGCCAATCGATTGATAATAGCGCATCATTCATCGAACTATAATCAGCCCGACGAAAATCGAACCAGCAGTCGTCTAGAGATGGTTCAAATGACACTGGTACCGAAATAGAAACGGTGACGTCAATAGCAGGATGTGGAGTATCGATTTCTACGAGCGATTCAGCCGCTTCGGATACGCAACAGCTTGATAACGCTGAGTCATTCACGAGTACTAAATCGAGAATCCATGAACTGGAGTTCTTCACAGTATTGATTTGTGTCAGACCCTGGAAGCAGAAGGCATCGTACAATGCACAACTAGCATTCGTTAATCTCGATGTATGGGAATCTATTGTGAGGCCACCATGCTCTGATGGTACCCAGTGCATTTCAGGATGATTATAGTCTCCAAACTGGAAAGCAAGGTCATGAGGCCTCAAGCCGGAAAGGATTGAATCAATGGAGTCAGTATGCTGCTGTATAAGCGACAGGTCGTCTCTGCAAACAGATGGTAGATAAAGCACTCCAATGCTGACATCATAGTTCTGCAGTTTGATATTGATCCAAAGCTGCTCGAGAGCATTACTTATCGGAGCTGGATCAATACAGCAACACAATTTAGAAGAGACGGCTATCAATACACCTCCACCACGAGTTTTTCGACTGTTCAGAGAGCCTCACGATTTGTCCTGAACACAGTGTAAGAGTCGTTGAATAATTGAGTAGACAAGATGCAATCGTTCAGCCAAGTCTCAGTTAGCACGATAACATCATATTCCGAGTCAGTTGTAACTAAGAAGAAAGAATCTATCTTTGTCCGAAGTCCTCGTGCATTCTGATAGTATATGCGTAGCTCGGAAGTTGTTGAGGAAGGATTGTCACAAACTTCTCGTCCGTTCCTCGGCAGAATGCAATGAATTTGAGTGGGTGTTGCGCTGAAATCCAAATGTTGATCACGAGGAGAATCACCGAGAAAGCACGCATACTTGCCTGAAAAGCCAGGATGGGAGACCCTCGCCCTATCTCCGACCACAGGGCCGGAACGACTTGGTACCTACGATATCTATGGAATACCCCATCATTCCACGGAACTCCTTGTAAGTCTCTGCAAATTTGCTTAAGTTAATGGGATTATTCTGAAGCTATCTGATCGTCCTTGAAGTACTCGGAACTTCGCTGAATATCATGTAACTATCTAAAAGTATCTAAATTTATTAGAAGTTCTTTGGAATTTCTTGAAAATATCACTGCTTGCTAAGAGTTTTCACTTTTTTTAATTAATGGAAATTTGTTGGTTTTCTCTAATCAATTTTGCTAAATTTTCGCGTTTTTTTTAAGTTCTTGAAATCTTTATGATATAACACGCCTAAAATACTCTCACGTTTTCCGAATGTTCATATAATTTTCAATCATGTTCCAGAAATTCTCTTGGAGCTTTGCTGAAGTTTCCGGAAATTCCCTGAGCTTCTTGCAACTTCTTTAAGGTTTCTACAATTTCCTTGAAATTATTTGAACTGCTCTTTGATTCTCTAAGCTTCCCTCAAGCTCTCAATTCTATTGGAGATCTCGGTTCTGGTGCTCGGAAATAAATGGAATTCCCGTAAACACCTTTAAATTTCCCTTAAACTTCTCTTAACTTCAGTGAAGTTTCTGAAATATTTCTGAAGTTTTCATAAATTCTCTGAAGGGCTCTGTACTTCCCTGAAATTCTCGGAACATCTTAAGGGTTCTCGATTTTTTTTCAGCACATCATGGAACTATCCTGAATTTTTCTAAATTTACCGATTATAGATCTTTAAACTGCTCCAAAAGTCTTGACTAAAGCTACGGAAACTGCTCTTAAGAACTGAAATTCCACAAAAATCTGTAGGTCTAGCTTAGGTACTTAGAACTTCTTAAAAATTTGCACAAGGTTTCCTTGAAACCTGTGAAGTTCTCTGAAATTCTAGGATCTTCATAAAAGTTCCCGAAAATTTTCAGATGCTAAAAGAACCGCTTTGAGGTTCTTAAAGCTTCCAGTAAGTTCCCCGTATTTTCAGCTTGGACTTACTCAAATTAAGTAAGTGTTAAACTTCAACATTCAATGAATTTGATTGTAAAGCTGTTTCTTTAAAACTGATTGCCATGTCTTAAAAACGTTTGGGTAAATTGCTGTTGTTTTTGATCCACCAAAAAATAACATATTTTTAACGCATTTAAAAAATAGTTTCTTTTTTTATTATAAACCTGGAATTTATCCATTAAAGTAGGGTTTTTTTTTTATCTAATTTCCGTCCTACTAAGCACAACGCGCACTTTACCTCTCTTTTCTGAACGAGTTTTAACTAAAAATGGAATATTTCTGTCAAAGATGACTTCTAAATTTATTCACCTTTCCATACAAACCGTTGGATTTGACAAAGAGTCACATATTGTTGAGATATTGTATAAAATCTAATACTGCTTCTTGATTCTAAATTCGTTCTACGAGTTTCAATTCCGTCCAAACGCATTGAAACGCCATTAGATTTTCTTCATTTCTATCGAAATCATTGATATAATTGATCTTTTCTGATCGATAGAACGGAAATACGCGATTACGACGAAGTAGCGCTCTACCCTACTTGAAAATCCTGGAAAACTCAGGCAATTTTATTTAGAAAAATGAGTAGGCACCCTGTAGATAGAGAAAAACGATTAAACGCCACAAAGCAAAGAATAATCAATCTTGAAATAAATTCACGCTAAAAAAGTTGAAAATAGTGACTGATTACAAGAAAAAGTGACTTTAGTGACTTGGCCTTAAAAAAGAGACTTTTAGTGTGTATGTCGAGTAGAATTTTGCTGATTTCTGGCTAATTACTGCATTTATTTAATGTTTATTGCATGGAATTAAAAGATAAGAATGAAGACTGACCACTCATAAGCATTGATGTTAAAATTATGCGTAAATAAGGGAGTTGGTAATTTACTGTCACACGCAAGCCTGCAGCTAAAATTTCATTACAATAAACTGTTTGGAAAAATCAAGCTGCGAGATTTTATTTATTCTCTATCTCCGCTGTTCGCTTGGAATGTAGTTGTAAACGGCCGCCCGTGTGCTGGCTGTTTTGTTTCGCTCTGGACGATGGTTTTTCAAAAAATGTACTGTTGCCACCTCTGCTTACAAAAGCAGATTTAATACCATATTTATACTCCAATTGGTTGTAAAATGCACAAAATCTTTTAGTTTACTCGATGTCCATACATTTCCACCAATATTTAAGCACTTGTTTATATTTTGAGAGTTGGTGCGCAGGTAGATTAAGGTTAAGGCTACGCCACTGGTTAACAGTACTGTACAAATCCTCTCTTATTGGTTGTTCGATTGCATTTGCAAATGGGTAATGATATCAGGCTTCCGATCAACATCAACGGAAGCAGAATTTGTCACAGTGCATGGTACAGTTTTAGTCCTCAATCAACTCTGTTCTCAACTCACTTCAAAAAATGAAAATTAATTCGGTTCGTCACTTTTTTTTACAAATAATTCGTTTATTTTCTGCAAGTTTACATTAGCAGTTTTCCTAAAATTACAAGAATTATGTTTTACTGTTCACAAAATTGTTGGAGCAGTCGGTAGCGGTTGACTCCTAGTAGTAGTGATGCCGCTCTGTTGTTGTAGTTGTTCCAAATTTCAATGCAAGTTTCGTATTGAGCAGAGTTTGCTTGTCAGGTAACATTGGAATTGGTTTCGATATAATTTTCGGGGGTTTTTTTGTGGTTGTAGTTGTGGTAGTTGTCTTTGGTTTCTTGCAATGCTTCTTCTCAACGTACTTTGGATAGTGCTTCGTTTCGTGTTTAGGGTAATGCACCGGTTCGTACTTTGGATAGTACTTAGGGTAAGGCTCGGGTTTGGGGTAATACTCTGGTTCGTATTTGGGGTAGTACTCTGGCTCGTATTTGGGGTAGTACTCTGGCTCGTATTTGGGGTAGTACTCTGGCTCGTATTTGGGATAATACACCGATTCGTACTGTGGGTAGTACTGTGGATAGTACTCTGGTTCATAACTGGGATAATACCAGTCAATCTGTCGTTTATGTTTATTGCCCTGTCCTTTACCATCGGCAGTATGATCCTTTTTTTCTGTAAATTCAATACGAAAAGCAGTTTAGATTAAATACATATATAATATATTGATATAATATATAGACTAGATAATTAGACTCAATCACAAAAAGTTTCACTTAATCTTACCTTGTTCACGATTGATACTAGCACCGGAAACTACCAGGACAATGCATCCCGCGACGAGCAGTTTGAGCAACATCTCAATGTTTACGTTGTTATTCTTCACAGACACTTCCTAACTGTTTGTGATGTCTGCAGAATGTGAAGAAATTTCTTATCCTACGATCGTTTTTAAACGAGCACGCGAGACGTTACCTAAATCATACGGGTAGGCGCATTTATACCGACCGTTGGGTAAAAATTATGGAAGGTAGAAAACAGTCGTTAAATGAATGCTGAGCACGTGATGGGTAACCGAAACTGAGTATAGCAAATAAAATTTGGAGTTTTTCGCTCCATAATGGCGGCCGATGGACAAGTTTGAGTGAACGTAGGTGCCTTTTCAAAAGCTATTGTGCGAGAGAAGAATGTTGATAATAAAACGAAGCTGGCCTTGAAATATCGAAAAAATGTATTGTCTGCCCAGCTTGTCAAAACAAACCTCATTATTCGGCATTAAAATCATCACGTTTTTCAGTGTGGGCCTTTGGTGTCAGCTTGCGAGAAAACGGTTTTTGCAAAATTAAAACGATGAAATGCTTCTTAAACCTTGGAAAAATGCTCTTTTACCGCATTACTCAGATTTACAGAGGTGTAAATTCTTAAAAAAAGCTTATAAAAGAAGATTCTAAAAGAAGCTTCTTTTGGAAGCTAATTCTAGACACTTGCCCGTCGCTTTGGCACTAGCGTGCACAGGAATCTTGTTAAGGAGGGGCAATTTTTTTTCTATGGTTCATTTAATCTGGGAATGGGGAGTACTCCAAAGTGCGTGGGAGATGGTGCGGTCCACCCACCACTGTTTCCCTACTGTTTAATTTAGCTAATTTTATTTATTTTTTGCTCCGGTGGTGGTTCATCTTCTTCAATGCAAACTGCTTTCAAACAGCCAATGGAATTTGGCAATTTAATCCCATCCGTCGTGAACCGTCCCAAAGTTTTGCCAGTAGAGGTGACAGAAAATTCAACATGTTTTAAAGATGATATAAAGGGTCAAACCCGAATTTATTGCAACACACAAAAACAGCTGTAACTTTTTAACTACGGTAAAAATGACTTGAAATTTTCAGAGAAGATTCTTAGACGATTTTTTTAGTAAGACCAAGGTTCAATGGCAAACTAATACCCACTTTTCAAGGGTGTTTCAAGGTAATCCAAAAGCTGTCTTTAAACTTTGTACAGTTGCGAAAAAGTCCATCCTCAGAATTCCTTGAGGTTCTTTTCGAAATTTTTAGAACTCTGTGAGCTCTTTTGAAATTCTTCTGAGAAGTCCTCTGGAATTATTTTTAGATCTCTTCTTGAATTTTACTCAGAACACCTTGCAACTGAAATTCCCTTAGAGTTTAAGAAGAATTTCCTAAAAAATTTTCCAAAAAATCCCTTTGGAATTTCACTCAAAATTTTATATTCTATGTATTCTTTTTGGAATCATCTTGGAACTATCTGCAGGATTCACTAGAAATTATAGGCAGAATTTTCTTGGAATACTCCCCAGAAATCCAGGATTCAGTATCCTTGAGGTTCTTCTCGGATTTTTTTAGAACTCTCCTAAGAGCTCTTTTGAGATTCTTCTCAGAAGTCCATTGGAATTATATTTAGAAATCTTCATGATTTTTTTTCTCAGAACACATTGGAACTGAAAGAGCTAAAAATTATCCTCGGAATTTGCTTGAACTTTTGCTTAAAATCCCTTTGGAATTTCACTCAAAATTCAGTGCCAACATTTCAAAGGGGCGTGATTGCATTTGTAAACAATGCCTTTAACCGTCGATTTGTAGTGAATTAAAGTTCACTCATGAAAAATAATGACACCAACAGGTAGAAAAATGTTTCATCTACCAGCTAGCATTATTATTTTGGAGGGGTGAGATTTCATTCGCGAGAAATTGACGGCTCAAGCCATTGTTTACAAAAGCAATTACGCCCCTTTGAAATGTTGGCACTGAATTTGATTTCCTCGGTATTCTTTTCGAAATAATCTTGGAACTATCTGCAAGATGCACTAAAAATTATCCACCGAATTTTCTTTGAATTTTCCCCAGAAATATTTTGGAACTGTTTTAAGAATTCAATATTCTTGAGGTTCTTCTCGGAATATGCTTGAACTTATTTGTCAGAACGGAACTGAAATTCCCCTATAGTTTCAGAAAAAATTCTTCTGTATTCTCCAGAAATTCTTCCCAAAATACGCTTGAAGTTATCATCGGAACTCCCTTGAAATTTTTCTCAACATCCCTTTGGAATTTCATTCAAAATTTGATTCTCTCGGTATTCTTATCTTGGAACTATCTGCAAGATTCACTTGAAATTATTCGCAGATTTTTCATGGACTCATCCCCAGAAATCTTTTCTTTTAGAACTGTCGTCAGAATTCAATACCCTTGAGGTTCTTCTCAGAAGTCAAGTTTAAGTTGTCCATCCATTCACCAAAAGGTTGTAGTTTTTCTACCAGAAATGTTCAATAAAGCTTGCCCCTCCATTTACCAGAACTGTGCAATTTTTACATCAGGAATTTTTAATTCAGCTTGCCTCCCATGCACCATACACCAGAAATTTTCAACACAAACTTGCCCCCATAAAATTTTACACCAGAAAATTTCAATTGATCAGAACGATGCAAATTTTTCACCGTTAATGTTCAATAAAAATTGCTTCTCCAATCTTCTGATTGGTGCAGATTTCCTTATAGCTTGCTTCTCCTATCATTAGAATATTGCAGGTTTTCCTCCAAATAAAGCTTGCCCCTGTTTTCAGACTTTTCATCATAAATTGTCAGTAAAACAGTTTCCCTCCAATCATCAGAATTGTGCAAATTTTAGACCAGAAATTATTATTAAAGTTTGTTTCTCTATTCAGCAGAAGGATGCAAATTAAAAAAAATCCAAAAAGCTTGCCCATCCGTTCACTACAACGATGCAGATTTTCCACCAGAAATTTTCAATATTGCTTAATTTTAAATAAAGCTTGTGCCATCATTTATCAGACCAGTGCAAGTTTCCACCAGAAATATTCATTCACTCATTTATCAGAGCAATGCAAATTTTGCTCCAAAAATTTTCAATAAAGCATGCTCCTCCATTCACCAGAACGGTGAACCAAAAATTGTCAGTGAAGTTTGTTTCACCATGCACCTTTTTATGGTGCAATTTTCAAGCTTTGTCTCTTCATGTACCAGAATGGTGCAAATTTTCCACGATAAATTTTCAATGAAGCTTGCATTCATCAGAACGATGCAAATTATGCACCAGAAAAATTAATAAACTTTGCTTCTACATTCACCACAGTGTTGCGAACTTTCCACCAGAAATTTTCAGTAAAATGTGCTCCTCTAAATTTTTAGCGTGATTCAATTTTTACACCAGAGTTACTCATTTTGATTAGTCCCTCCATGCCCCACCTCGATGATATTTTTGCACCGGAAATATTAAATAAAAATCTTTTTCTTCGATTTACCACCACGAAGGTGAATTTTTTCAACCTTAAATTTACCCACTTTTTTTAACCCTCCATGAATCACCCTGAAAAAAATTTACACAAAATTTTTTTTGTATGCACCACTGGGGTGCAATTTTTTGACCCAATTGAAGTTTGTCATTTCATGCACCTTTTGGTGGAATTTTCAGGCACCATCTCAAAGAAATTGACGCAATTAAAGGATTTCAGTGGCCTTATTTTATGAAATGAAGTTATTTTACCTTCAATCCAAGTTATCAAGAAATCAAGTTATTTTAAATTATAATTTTGTAAATGTGAAAATAAAAATCTTATTTATAAAAGGAGGGGCAATTGCCCCACCTTATCCCACCCTGTGCACGCCAGTGCGCTTTGCTCCTCGGACTAAAAAAACATGGACATGACAATAATTCTGAGTAGTTACGCAGTAAAAGAGCCTTTTCCAAGGTTTAACCTCTCTTTTCTATGGCAGCACAGTTTGTTAATCTACTATTAAATAGTCAGTACTTATCTAAGCTTCTCCGTGTGCTCATTATTCTCGTCCATATGTATTCTTGAGGATTGAACTGAGTAACTATTTAAAAACAAATTAACCTAGTTGAAGATGCTTATTTCAAATAACAGACTAAAGTGGTAATTTTTTACGATAAATGAGGAAGAGATGAAAGTATGTATAGAATTGATAGTTCCGTTTAGATTACGGCAGTGTGAAAATTACATATAGAGAGTAGACAGCGAGCTAGGACAACTTTTAGGAAGGGACAAATCGGTGTTATCTATCTCTCTTTACCAAACTTCCCCTTTGGAAAGGGGGGAATTAACCTATTGATTTTAAACAAAAACTTTGTTTTAAGGATTCCATAACTTTAGGCTGTATGAAACATCTTTAAAATATATGTTTGAATCTCAAAACAACCAAAAACCTTGTGGGCTAGGAGCATTTCATTGTTTTAATATTTACAATCGCAGTCAACGGCGTCATGCCGTTACGCCATCACCACCGATGAAAGGACCGGTACTTAGGTCTAAATGTATAATTTGTTTACCATTTCATCATGTTTACACCAACTTTATTAATCATTAATTGGAATTTTCGGCTATGCAATCTGGCGAGTTCCAAACCGTAGTGTTTCAACTGGAAGGCTGTCGAAGCATTGAGGAGTTAAAAAACTACATATACTGCATAGACGAAACTCATATTAATCAATTACCAACACTCGGGAAATTAACTCATTTTAGTTATGTTTTTCAAATTATCCTAAAACAGTAGGCTGTGGAATTTTGAAATCTTTCTTTTTTTAAAGATACACAACATTGCCGAAGACTTTACAATGTCAGCGTAAAACGTTACATGTTACACCATCTATGTGGATGAGTTATGAACTTTATGGTTTCTGCTAATAGATGTTGTGTGATCTCAAATTTCATGCAATTTAATTTAAAAAATCATTAAAAAAATATGGTGATATTAAAAATGCTACACACATGTTGCATGAGCGTTTGAACAGGATTTCGGGTAATGAGCAACTTCTTCGAAGGCACCAAGCCTTGGAAGTATTGTACTTTCATGTATATTCTAATATGTACTAA